TCCTCCATGGGAGTACGATGATGAGGTGGTGGCTATCGCTCAACGGTTCACTGAGCTACACGAGACGCTTGTGGCTCCCAGGGTCATAGAACTGGCTGGAGAAGTTCTGGACACCGGGGACCCCATAATTCGCCCATTATGGTGGATTGCCACCAGTGATGAAACTGCTTATAGAGTTGACTCACAGTTTCTGATAGGAGATGACCTGATGGTGGCACCAGTCCTGGAGCCGGGCAAGCAAGAAAGGGATATCTACTTACCAGCTGGACGCTGGAAAAGTTACAAAGGAGAACGATATGACAACAAAGAGCCAATACATCTAACAGATTATCCAGTTGATCTTGATGAAATTGCTTACTTTGAATGGGTTCAGTGAGATTTATGGGAAGCATCTGGAGTTTTGAGCATGTCTTCCATTTAAAGTGTTTGAAGTTGATTTTTTTCTTTTCAGGGAATTAGCTAAAGTTATTTTTCCAGGGTTTAAATTCTACTATGTAAAAGAGGACAATTTAAGAAGCAAGGTCCCAGTTGCACATTTATGATTCTTCATCAGCTTGGATATGATTGTTAAGCACCATTAGTTAAACATGCATTACATATCTGAGGCTAATGTCTTATACGTGCCTTGCATCTAAACAGTGAATGTCTTCAAAAGACTCGCACAAAACCTTAAAGGAATGAAGCATCGATATGCATGTGGCCAAATGAACCAATTTTAAGGATGTTAAGGATTTATTGAGGGGCTGTGACGGGTAATTTTGCACAATGAATGTATGCTTCGTGTTCTCTCATCTGCATTTTTAAAAAGGGAAACTTCTGCACAAAAGCCTTCATCTTACAAGGCATACTTTGAATTACTTTCTAATGTTGTCCTCAGAGTGACATCAAAATGTACTATTTTGAAAATGCATATTTAACATTTTAACCGCAAGCAATCCCAATGCTACAACCCAAATATATATACACTACAGTAAAGTTAGGCTGTGCATGAATTTTCTGCACATAATCTGCCATACTAATAATCACATTAGAACTTTGTATGAGTTATGGGTGTCTGTGGGTGCATTGGAAATGACCAGCAGTCTTTTTGTTTTGCTCTACTGCTATACCATTTCATCATGTAGTGCCAAATACATCACCAACAGGCCTTGGTCAAGCATTACTCCATTACTGCCACATTTACACAAAAGTGTCCTGCCGCATAAAACGCAAGTTACGTTTCCTGTTAATATTAAATTGAAAGTGTGCTGCCCATCTTGTTTTGATAATGATGTGCTGACAAATTTTAGTTTTGCAATAATGGCACAACGCTAATAGCTTAGTCAGTTAATCTTTATCAGATTATATATTTTTTGCTGCGCAAGGGTCACCTTTGTGTTTGTTGTGTTTGTTTAACGCCCTTCCAGCATGCCGGCAATCGCCTCACACTGCAAGCTTTCTCTAAACTACGACCTTCAAGCTTATTTTTAGCTCTTCCCACACAACTGCAAAAGCGCACTCATCCACTCCGTTGAAACCATAAATCTGTCAAGCAATGCGTCTGATCTAAAAGAAGCTGCAGAGTATGCCGACATGTGGCAGCTGCCTTTCCAGAACCTGTGTACCTCAAATAACAGTTTAGAGTGTTACTTACTTGTAGAGAGATGTCTTCTGTTTTGGCTAATTTTCTTCGCTGGGACTGTTGTTGTGGATTCTACCTGAGGAGATCGTGTTGATAGGCCCATGACAGTGTGGGCCCCTGGGTGACCCAGTCAGACTGTAGATTGCTGATGTTACATAAACTCACCAGAGCAAAACCACTGTCAGCTTTCATCAGACTGGAATTTCATGCTTTTTTTCCATTTGTTTTTGTCATTAAAACAGATTGTATGAACACATTTCTAGAAGCAAATATGCATTGTTCGTACATCTCATTGAAAAGTTGTGTGTGGCTAATACACTTCAATTTTTTTTTTAACATGTTAGTGAATTGAAAGTATTTATTTGTTTGTTTTGTTTAAACCAGTGTTTGAGTTCAGGCATGTGTGTTTCAAGTATGACTGGGCAGAATGTACATTTTATTTTGAGTTTCATATGTCATAAGCCATGCTAAATGTAATCATCTCAGATTATATATTTTTTTTTTGGCCAGCTGCTCTGAAAGTATGGTTCTCCAGAGTGTCACAGGAGGGCAGTGTTCACCTGCTTTTCTATTCATCCACTGTAAGCTTGTGAAGTGTGTTGGCATGACAAGAAAATCCTCTACTTTTATTTCACTATTTTTTTCTGAATATAATTAGCCTGATATTGAAGTAAAATGGTACCATTAAACTTTTGCCCTCTCTCAAGAGTTATTAATTGTTCTTTCTCCTCTGCATTAATTGTACTGCCCCACATTAGCCAGACAGTCTTCAGTGGTCGAATGATGCTACCCACTCTATTCAGTTCACTATTTTCCCTTTTGATAGTGTTGCTGGACTATCAACACATGCAGCAGAAGGATTTTGGCACTGATACGATACAATTTTGGCTTTATTAGTTTATTTTATTTGGTATTATGCAGTTCTGCCAGCCTCAGCCCTCTGTGTATCTTAGTATGGATTTCCATTGAGTTTCTAATTTGTGGACAGTAAATGAAAAAGTTTATATGGTTTTGTTGACTTTATCACTCAAATTGCGTTTCCAAGTATAATCAAGTGCAATATCAGAATTTTTGTGTGACATATAAATCTTCATTAATTGCTTGTATTTGGCTGTACATGTGCCATCATGATAACATAAGATAGTGACTAATAATTAAGATCTAGTTAGTTGCGGAGTCCACAGGTTACAGAGCAGTATGAGTGCCGGTTTCATTTTCCTTACTCGGATTGGGCCGCATCTCTTCGCTAAGTTCAAACGAGGCTTTCAGGCAGGGCGGTCATGGGTCCATGGATTCATTGAACCTCCAGCCTCCTCTAGTCTCTCACAGGAATAGTAATTATTGCAAAGCAGGTTAAGCCTGATCAAAGTTTGAATCAGACTTTGGTCCAGCATTGAAAGAAGTCTCTCCTGAGAGGCATCTTCTTGGTTTTTTGGGCCCTGCTCATCATTGGTAGATAATGACACAGTGTTGAGGTAATTTACAGGTTATATGGAGGTTGCCCTGGATCAATAAATCATTTAGTTGAGTTTGGGACAGAGGTGGAGTAGTGATTTGATGAGCAGGAAAGGGCAAAGACCAAGGGTGCCCTGACAGTAATCTGTTTGGCCCATTCGTTGGACGAGACTTACAACACAATACCACATTAAACGAATTTAGCGGGGTTTTTTTTTCTGTTATGACTTGCATATCTTAGATAATGCAATGAATACTTAGCCATGATTTCATAAAGTTGAATCAACATGTAAGTATAAAAAAGTTTCTGGATTTGTTGTGCACATTACATTGGTGCAAAGAAGAAACATTTTGTCTTCATAATGTCATCAAAATATAATAACTTGCTCCTCCTCTGAAATAAGTTCCCTTTTTGACATCTCCAAGCACTCTTATTTCTTTGAATCCGACTACCTATCATTTGTACAGAGCCCCTAAAGGGACATGGTGAAGGAAAAGAATAAGATTGGAGGAAAGAAATTTACTGATTATGTGTTCTCTTGCAAACATTTTGGGTTCATCAGAGAAACAGTTCAATTGCAAAGAACTCAAGGGAATGCAAAACATTTGTGAGAAAACGCAAACGGTTTAAAATGTAATTTTTCCTCTCATCTCATTTTTTCCCATCTCCAATACATTTGAGACTACTTTTCATGCTTCAATCGATTTCCGATGGATAAAAAAATCCTACTTGCCCCCTCAGATTTTTTTTAAAAACAATGTTGATTTTAAATGCAGCTTCCAAAAAAGTTATCTTGATAATTAAAGGGATAGTTCACCCAAAAATGAAAACTGTTGTCACTTACTCGCCCTCATGTGTTTTCAAACCTGTTTGAGTTTCTTTTTTCTGTTGAACACAAAAGAACATATTTTGAAGAATGTTGGAAACCAGTCAGTGGAAGGTAGCCATTGACTATTTTTTTTTACCTATGCTACTATGGAAGTAAATGGGTGCCAAATGTTTGATTGCCAGCATTCTTTACACAAGAATGTTCAACAAAACACAAAATACTGTGTGAGTCGAACAAAACTTAAAGGTGATAAGTGATGACAAATGTACATTTTTGGATGAACTATCTCTTTAAGTTAGTTAAGTCACATTCAATGATGTGAATCGTACATTTAGCTACCTATTTAAATGAGCTCAATCCCATCGGGTCACACCTTCCACTTAAAATTTGCTGCTAAACAAAAACTACCAGTATACAACCATACTAAAGACTAAATTTAAAAACTGCCAAGTTAATAAAGTATTTGTATCTTCTGGTCACATCTTGTCTTGCCCTAGGGCTTCAGGTGAACCAGAGCTCAGGTGCATGATGCCTCGGGATAAAAGTCCTGCCCTGCATCAGCTTGCATTGAATATTCCATTTCCCATTAAAATGCACATTACAAAAGTGAAACAGTATTTATGAACGTTTAGCTACTTGAAGGATATGGTTCACCCAAAAATGAAATTTCTATCATGATTTACTCCTCATATCTCAACCTCATGCTTAACACAGATAGCCTATTTGATGAAAGTAAATGTAAAAACTGATCTACCCCTGGCCTTGATCTGTTAGATCTAAATCAAAGGTCTAATTTATTGTCAATGTGTTTAACTTTTTACCAAAGTGATTTTGACAACATGTGGCCCTTCTAAAATTTTGGGGGTAACCAGGTTACTAACTGTGCTTTAGATCAGGTTTACTTTGCCTGTCAATGCCGCCTCCCCGATATTGATTTGCACTCACGGCCTGCGCAGAAGACACACACTCATATCGATTAGCTGTCTGTATTCCATTCCTCAGAAATCAATGCTGTTTGTGGCTTTGCCCGTCTACAATGATATAGTTTTTGGGTCTAAAGACCGCAGTTCTAATATTGTTTGAAATTAGGCTGAGGGTTCTTTTAACGAAGTGGGCGGAGTCTGTGATGGTCTTTGGCTTTTAATAACGTATCGCGTTCGTCACTGACAAGTAGTTTTGTTTTTGCGCGGCTGTTGTTTATACCAGCAGAAGCTCAATGACTCATGGTGACACATTGTGAGTAAGCTCACTTGTGCCCAAAAACAACAAACAACGCGGCTGTTCTCATTTAGACCCAATTGAAGCTCTCGTTCCACCGCTTGGTGATGGAATGACCTGTTAGACGAAATCTGTTCAACATTTACTCCAACTGTGCATTCATATCTTTTTCATCTGCTATAAATGGATTTGTTTGCTGTGGAGCTGTATAAATTCTCCATAAGTTCAAGGTATTTGGAGGCGTAAAGTTTGCGTGGAGAAATATTGCCTAGTATTTTAAAATAGTGTTTGCTAGTTCTAGGCAGTTACATGAAGCTCCTTTAGGGGGCAGTACAGCTTCACATTGTTTCCCTTTTTGATAGCATTGTGGACCTCAGCCCAGATGTGATCAACTGGAAAAAAAGAAGTGCACCTACTCCGAGCTACAAGGACGACACAAACCTGGCAGAGGCCCCCTGGCCTGCCTTATGCCCACCTGCGTGCCCATCTGCAGAAGAGCCCCGCCAGTTGTTGTGTTTTTGTGCCAGGGTGAATCAAGCCCATCGGCTCCACTCCCAGGTGTGTATCTGGCTGTGTACACCCCAACCCCCCCATCTCCCCGATTGCATACAGTGATCAGATGTCTAAGAGTCCACTTGTTGTATTGTGGTTTATGAAAAGGAATGGAACCAGATTGTGTGCTGGCTGGCAACTGCAGTTTTGGCATTTTAGTTTACGTCTTCAGAGAAGCAAACATGGGGGTTTATGCTCCTTTATATATGCAATATTTATATATGTATGTACAATATGAGAGTTTTGAGAGTGACAACTGCTGTGTTTCATATCCATGTTTTACCTCTAAACAAAATTGCTTTCATACCATGTCCATAAATATCTATTTGTCTAAACTGACCTTTAAGTCAACATGATATCAAAATTGCCTAGAACAGGCAAAAGAGCCCATTTACCCTATTTACTTATTAAGTATTTAATGAAATGAAAATGAATCTATTTCCCAAATGCAGATTATTGGTTTCAATTGTAAGTGATTCATCATCATACATTATTATTTTATATTTTTGACCTTGACCTAAATTAATCAATGTCGTAGCTCAATAATATGGTGAAATGTCAGACTTCTCTCTGGTGACGTACAGTATGCCGGACTTCTCTAATCATTTTGTCACTTAAACGCTGCCCATTTCTTTCAACAGTCGATGAACTGTCTCATTTTCCCCCATAATTAATTTCACTCTGATGTACGCCACTGATAACGTAGAAAAGATCGGTCACTTCTGTTTCATCTTAACTTCAATCTGCTAAACTCTTGAATGAAATTTCTTTTCTGATGGTTAACATTTAGGCATTGCAACATTTACCAATAGTTGTTTATGCATTCTATTAGGTTTTATTTAATTGTTTAGTTAAAACAAATGGTTGTGATACGTTTTATGTTGTCTTAATTAGGTGCTTTGCGTTTGTGCCATATGGAGTTAGAAGTGCCAGTGTGTGCTGAAAACAACAGTTTAAACTAGGTATAGGTGGTTATCTAGTCTTGCCAGTGCAGCAAAAGTGCCCAATAGCCTTGTAAAACCATCAAAGCAGACCAGTCTAAGCTTGGCCAGGCAGACACACCCAGCAAACAAATTTAGGTTCTGGGAATGTTCTGGGAACGTTAGTTTTTGGTTCCCAGAACGTTCCTTGCCGGAACATTCTCCTTAGTTATAAAAATGGAACCTAAAAATAACCTACATGGAACGTTTCTATAACGTTCTTGTTTGGTTCCCAAAAAAATAACCTCATGGGACCATGTGTTTGCTGGGCAGCAGCTAACGTACCTTAGGCTGTTCTTTTCATGAGCGGAATAGTGGAAATCTCCAAATTGCGGCAATCATTTTTTTCTTTATTTCAAAATCAATGAACATTCGCTTGTGCATAGCACAAGAAAAGAAATGAGCAGCCATGAATGATATCCTCAAGCTAATGAAAACTGAGTAGCACTATCTAAAAAGCTCATCTGGTGGAATGGTACATTAAATGATAACTTCTGTGTGGAGACACTTTAGAGCACCTGTGGCCCTGCTAAACCATTTCCATACATGCACTCTTTCTGAAATACCTAATGAGTGGTTAAAAGCATGCTTTTAATAGATTTCCTTTTTCTTGCTTCACAGTCGAAGAGGAAGATTCCTTATGGCAGACATGTCACATTCAGCATCACGTATCCACAAGTTCCCTGAGCGATGACGCATGTCGGGCCTTGTGTGAAAGGTAAACTTAAGTTCTGGTTAAGGGTTGATGATTTAATGAAAAATCCATTGATCTAACTTCATTTAGTGTTGAATTTTTAATCAATAGTCATGGGTGGAAGGAGATCATAAAAATGGGGCTATTTAATGAGACTGATAATGGGCAGGATCTCCACAGTGGATCATTCATGTTTGAGGACCCAGCTGTTCTGATGGACGAGCACGTTAAGCTTTGAAACTGAGGAACGGGAGGAGGGGGTTATTGCTGGAAACAGGACCTTGTCTGCTCCGAGTGCTACTTGACCTTGAGTAATGTCATACTTTATGAACTGTGCCGAAGTAAAACTCTGGTTCACCAACTGCGATGCCTCTCAAAATCAGTGTTTGAAAAAATGAGGAGATTAAGAAAAAATTAGCTGTAATTTCTCAAGCTGAAACTTTCAAAATGTCATAAATGGGTGCTTATTGAATGTGACATTGATTAGCCAAGGGAGCAATGGAGAAAGATGGCGGACTATTTCATTAATTATACAATTTTGTGACATTCAGAATTACACTGATGTAAAAGCTGAATTTATTTGACTGAATGGATAACATTTTCTTTTTATTTTCAATGGTGGATTATAAATCATTGAAGTAAATATACCTTTTTATTCATTTTTAGGTAGCTGCAGATGGTGGGGTGGAGAGCATTTAATTTCTCATAACAACCAGAGGCACAGATCTACTGATGCAATTTAATTAAGTCTGGCCATGTGCTATAATTAAGGCATGGCTCGCACAGAACTTAAAATATTGTAATTTACTTGCCCTTACATTGAACTAAACTAAAATGATTTTCTTTATTTTCTGTAGACCATAAAAGAGATCATTGGAAGTATGTCCATGTTGTTCCAGAGGCTATCAGATTCAACTAAAATACCATAACTCTGACCCATAACTTATTTTCCCAAGTCTTGAAGCCAGCTTTTTCTGGGGAAAAGATAGAATCTTCCCAATAGATATTCCCAATTGGTTATAAAATGCATAAAAACCAATGGTCTTTGGCATCATTGCCATTTTTAAAGGTACACACACGTGAAAGCTTATAAGGTTATTAATGAATTACTTTCTGCGTAAAGAGTAAGTTGACCTGAAAATGAAAATTCTGTCATCATTTACTCACGACGTTCCAAACCCAAGAGACTTTCATCCTTCATTTTAAGTGATTGTTTCTTCAGAATACTTGGATGAAACTGCTCGATTCATATGGATTTCTTTTACAATCCTTTTATAAGCTTATTTAAGTTTAGGTGGAACAGACTGTTGTGGAGTGTACTGAGTGAAATAATCTCTGATTTCTTTAGATCAACGTGAGAGTAAATGATGACGTGACAAATTCAATTTTCATCCCTTTAATTTTTGTTTTGTGCTCTTTAGGTTTTGAAACAAAATGAGGGGTAGTAAATAGTGACCACATGAACTGTCCCTTTAAGAGCAAAAGCTGTGTTGAATAAGCTGTCAATTCCAGAATTGTTCATCCTGATGATTCACTATCCAGTCTCTGTGTTTGTGGTTAGAATGGTTAGACTTGTAAAATTGCAGGGCTGCTGAAACCGCTCTCAGATGAAGGTTTCCCGCCTTCGCAAGAGTGACCTCCCATCTGCCGAGTCGTGTCTGAGGGGAACTTGTCTGTCCTTGCTGGGTAACAAATGACCCTGACACACCAGAGACGATGGGCTTGCACCTGCTTAACTTTTCTCACCCGTCTGTCTCCCATCGCGCCAGACAGACAAAGCTCAGGGCCCAGTGGGCTCCAGACGATACCTTTCGGACCGAGTGGTGTGCTAGCAGGCAAGAGCGGCTTACAAGAGCTTTGGCAGCATCTGTCAGCTCTGGGGTTGGTACAACCCTTGGGGGGATGATAGAGTTGCTTATAAATAACCCTGAAATGAATTAAAAGAGATAAAGAGGCTCCCGTTGCCGAGGAGACGGAGAGCTCTCAGCTTTGGCCGGAGGGCACAACGGGGGTGTCGGGACAGGGCGATATAGTCGGGAGGGAGCGGGAGGTATAATTGAAACATTGCTCCATGGCAGAGTGGCCTTTGGTGTGATTGATACCGTTTTAGAATACTCCTGTTCACTCTGGCTCTGGGGGATTTACCTGAGGTAGAGAAGGGAAAGGGGGATGCTTATGTGGCTCATCCGGGTTCGGCAGAAAATTGGTGCCATCCATCAAGAACCAGATTTAACGAACGCTGAAACCGGGCTGCCCGGCAAAGGATTCTTATTTAAGGCAGTGAACCAGGAAATGTGCAAGGGGCATGGACTGGTGCAGGTCTATCAATCAGCTAGTCAGCTCCTTTATTCAACAAGAGATCGACAGCCCCTGAGGCCAGCGCACGGGGTTCCGGCTTGTTGGCCTTGCAACACTCTCCCTGAAGGGAAGTGAATGCGAAAGAGAGGCGGAGAGAGTTTTGGGGTGGGGGACAAGAAGAGGAGAGGCATCAGGGCTTGGCCGTGTCCCCTGATGAGCTAGCATGCTTCATCTTTCTTGCGCGTGGACCTGGAACTGCGGCTTGATGGGATTTTCAGCACTGTGGCCTCCATGCCTCACTGGCGAGCGGTCGGGGGCCCTAAGGCCAGGCACCCGAGCTCTGCGGCAAGGCGCCGATGCCCTCGCTGACTCTCTTAACATTGCGTCACCTTTGCCTGAACTTGCAGAAGAAAATCCAGAGCGCAGGATTTAATAGCTACGCAAGACTGAGAAATGAAATGCAACTTTAGATTTTCTGTGCAAAGCATGGCTGTAACCCTGTAACCCAAATTCCCTGGAGGCTTCTAGCCAGCCTCCATCAGAGTCCATTTGAACAGATACAAGAGTTTTTACAACCATGAAATTTAACTTTATAAAGTTGTTCAGTAGGACATTTATTCACGGATTCCTTGCGGTTTCAGAAAAAAAGTCTTATCTTTCATCAACACCTCCTCTCGTTTGGCTCCTCTTTTCACAATCCAGTCAATTCCTGATGTTGACTTTAAGACCACTGCAACTTGAAAACCGCTGCGTGTTTAGCAGTAGACATTCAATAGAAGTCCAGTTTTGATTTATGTCTTGTTTAGGATGGTGTTGATGGAGCTCATACATTGTGCAGGATGAATTGCAGACCGATGCTAAGAGGACACTTGCACGCGTTGTGGCATGAGGCAGAAAATGGACCACGTTTATTTTCTTCCCTCTCTTTGTCCCTGGTTCCCTCTTCTTCCTTCATTCCCTAAGAAGGTTAAATTTTTTTCTTCTATTTATCTATTGTATAGATTTTTCCACCATCTTCTGTTCAGATAAAATGCCGCCCACTAAGAAACCGTGGAGTAAACATCGTTTCGCAGCTTAGCCTATAAGACAGGAAGAAGGAGGCGAGCGAGTAGAGACGGAGAGGGTGGTGCACTCGCAGACACACAAAATCAATGCTGATCAATGTTTTATATCACCAAGATGCTGCTCCTCTCGACCTGCTCCAGCTGGAAAAAAACACCTCCCAATCACCTATCCTACAAGAGGGCGTCAAGTCCCTCTGGTGTTTTACCCAGAGTTCAATAACCTACTCCACCCTCAATCAAGAGTGAGAAAAGAGGACAACAATAAAGAGAAGCCGAGGACACACAACAGGCGTGTAAAATGTTTGTCAAAGTACTAAAAACATGCTTTATCAGTGAATCGCATACATCAATATTGTATTCTGAACTCTCAACACATAAAATATTTTAAATAATGTGTGTAGGTGGGTGAAGCACTGAATAGATATTACAAAAGATAGATGTCTATATTGTTTGTTGTTTTTTCCGGTATATATTAACATAAGACTTTGACTGGCCTAAGGTTCACAGCATTTTTTTTATTGATAATAAATAAGAAAAAAAAATTCTTAGTGATATTGAAACTGTTTTTGTGTGTGTGGAAAAATGTCCTTGTTTTATGAAAGTGATATCGCAGTATCTTACTGACGACAAACTTTTAGATATAGGGTCAGAATTGTTGCATTCCAAATAAATAAGATTGATTTATTTGTGGATTTGTCTTCACGTCTCTTGATGCTAATCCACAAACACGTGCTGTGATCTACATGTGCACACGCAGCGATCCACAAATAAGAGTTATTTGTGTGACATAAAACCCATTTGTGAATAATTCTTTTATTTGCAAATCTCATTTTATTTATTTGTGAATTTAATTCATTTTTGTGAATCTCAATCTATTTATTTGGAAAAATGCAACAATTCTAGCCCCAGATTTAGGTGATAATGTATGCTAATTCTAACTTTAAAACTTAGTTTAACATTAAACGATATTTAGATTTATTTTTTATTTTAACTGTTTTAACTGCCTTGGAAATAATGCAATGCAGAAAAGCAAAGTGGTCTATTTCATCATTTTTTAATTACTTTTTTTTCCATTAATTGATTTATTTAGGTTTTCCACAACTCTCACAAGATATCAACAGAGCATCTAACACCTATTTTGTGATTGATTATTAAAAGCTTATGGTATTATTCTAAAAAAAAATACTTTCACATGCAGAAGATGTCTTTGGCCGGGTGCTTTGTATTGTTCTCCAGCATAATGTTGTGAACGGTGTGGTTTTCAGATGATGTATGAAGTTTAATTCTGTTGTGCTCTGTTTTAAAATGCAAGAACATGTCTTAATCACATTATATGAACATATTCAATCGATAGCCCTACTAATAACATGAACTTTTATGGTATGTGCATTTTTAGACGACACTGTTATTCCTTTTGTCCTTTGGTGAAGGAGTTTGGCCTTATCTGTTAACAAGTGCACACACACGGTGAGGAGGGAGGGAATGTGATTGGTTTTGACGATACGGGGGGAAAAAAACATGTATTGCATTCACAGATAGAGTTGGAGTATCCAGTAAGGAATATTACAGACCAAAAAGATAAGGTGTAGCACAATTTGTGTAGCGCCGCAAGCTTCTCTGTTAACACCCATAAATAAATAAATAAACAAAAGATCCAAGATATCCCATGTAATTTTCTACCCGCCTGTGTTAAAGAGATGGAGCGTGCGAGTTGTGTAAATGGCCCAATATACTACCAAGACACTAAAATTCAATAGCATCTCCCCTCGCACAGTAAACAGTATTTTTTAAAAGCATGACCAGCAAACACAGAGACAAGCAAATTTAATCCAGAGTTTTTTAACAGGTCTGAGTGGATCAATACCGCAATCCCTTAGACGCATAGAGCATTTCTAAAGCGACAACAACAGCAGGAAATAATGATACTTGGGGGGGGGGGGGGGTGGAAGGAGCAACTGTCAGAATAGAGGCTGGCACATCGGCGATGGTGTCTGTTCTCTCTAATTAATTTTCTCAGAAATGGAGACAAAGTGTGCCAGAGTTTTATTTCCAAGAAGCTAATGAGTTTCCTACAGAGCAAAGCTGAAGATAACCAGGAAGGGGGTTGCGGGGGGAGGGAACACATGCATACCATTCCAACTTAATGTGCTTCTCAAATGAATTTCCTATCAGCTCAACTTGTGCCATAATGGTGATTTTATAGCTCCTGGAGTTTCAGCAGTGGTGAATTGTTGCGGATTGTGCCCAGGAGATAAAAACCTTAGGTTGCTCGTGAAACAATGCAAATGGGGAAATGTGTGGCCTCTCTGTGAGTACTGCTTCTGCTGTTGCTGTTTGTAGTCATGCCATCCAAAGTTAGAACGGAAAATGTAGAAATTCACAAGTTTGTAAAAGAATGGTTCATAGTTCTGTCGTTGTTCAGTGAATCATATTTTAAATTTTGGTTTGTTCCTCCCTGAAAGTAATCATGTGGCTGTAGCACACAAGTTGTATTATCACATTATGGTACTTTTTGAGGGCTTTCGCATTAAAAAAAATCATTGTATAGTTAACAAAGTCTTAAAAAAATGTCTATACTTTTTGTGTTCCACGGAAGTGATGCAACGTTACAAGTTAGAACAACGTAAGCGTGACAATTTTGGGGTAAACTTTTCCTTTAAAGGAGTAGTTTACTTTTGATAATTTACTCACCCCCATGTCATCCAAGATGTCCACTTCTTTCTTTCTTCAGTCGAAAAGAAATTAAGGGTTTTGATGAAGACATTCCAGGATTTTTCTCCATATAATGGACTTCATTGGGAACCAAACAGTTCAAGGTCCAAATGAGAGTTTCAGTGCAGCTTCAAAGGGCTTTAAATGACACCAGACGATGAATAAGGATCTTATCTAGGACCCTTCGAGTCATGACTCGAAAAAAGATTTGTTCGTTTTGATGAACGAGTTTGAACAGGAGAGTCACGAACGCTCATCACAGAACAGAGCAAGGTGAGCATTTGTGCTTATACACTAATACTTAAACGTTTTTATTTATTTTTTAAATGACCGATCGTTTCGCTGGATAAGATCCTTATTCATCGTCTGGGGTTGTTTAAAGCCCTTTGAGGCTTCACCGAAACTCTCATTTGTACCTTGAACAGTTTGGTTCCCATTGAAGTCAATTATATGGAGAAAATCCTGGAATGTTTTCATCAACAACCAGAATTTCTTTTCGACTGAAAAAAAAAGTGAACTACTCCTTTAGGGAGCTTGTTGGGCCACTATTTATAAATAATTCTCACCAAATAATTTTCAGGTCACATTTCTTAAAATAAAGCCTGTTTTAAGTCTGTTAATAATTTATTATTATTATTAACAGTGAATTTAATTAGAGTAACAAATTAAAGTTTTTTTTCAAAAGAAATTTAATATACACTGTAATTTTCTTTATTACGCTTGTAAGAACGATAGATTAAAAGATTTTAATTATTTTTAATGATCATACTTTTTTTAAAATACATATTTAAACAATTAAAATTAATTTATTATTATTAATACTAATATTCATACAACTACTATTATTTATTTAAATTTTTGAGTGAAACATGACCGGAATGTGTTCTTGACAGGTTTCCTGGATTCAACCAATAAAACAAACACAAAAAAAACATTCCACAGCTCTCGCTAGATGTTGTCAGAGCACCTAGCATGTTTTTCATATTCATTATAAAAAGCTGATGGCATTATTCCACAAAATGGCGTGTGGTTGCTTTGTTTCCATCCTAGTTACAGCCCCATGCAGTTCACTCCCTCTTCCACTTCCTGTGGAGAAACTTTCTGTTGCCAGACCTTGATTTATGTCTCGGGCTTTGCAGGCCAAACAAAGGTTCAGCGGCACAGGGGATCGATGGGCAAGCCACAAAATAAAAGGCTACAGACTTAGCAATGAATTCAGCGCTGCATACTGAGTGAGCATCTCTCAGCCCCCTTCAGCTGAGACGGCACCCTCCGTGGGCATACTCTGATTTGATGAGGCCTTAATAAGCACTCTGGAAACACTCTGAGTTTAATGAATGGGTCAGTCGTCCTGATTGTGTTTTTATATTATTATTATATCTAATAAGAATGTGCTAGATCACATTGTGACTGCCCCTTTTCCTGCTTTGCCAGTATGCGAAGGTGATTAAATCCGAACATGGCTGTCTCGTCTGCAAACTGATTATTACAGGTTGGACAGTGGTACCCACCCCATAATGTATGACGTGCCATCATGCATCCATCTGTCTGATTCTCTCCCTCTGTCTCCACCTTGTTTATTTTTAGGTGAGCGCCAATGGGTGGGACTCGCATGCTGATGGAATGACGGTTGTCAGAGGGATTAAAACTAAAGATGAACCATGTGGGAGTTTCCTCCAAAGAGCCCGTGGATAAATCTCATTAGCATACCAGCACTGTGGATGGCTGTAAATTTAACGAATGACGTGCTGGAGAGGATGAGGTTGGTTGAAAGCAGAGGGTGAATAAACAGGCAGAAGCAACACCACAGTGCCAGTAAGACTCCACCTGCCCACCATTAATCTTTAGAATAGCACTCTGCCAGTTTTTGTGCCATCTCCAAAGCCCTCAGAAACTATAAAAGTTCTGGTCTCAACACGAAGTTTGTACATTCTGTACTTTATATGCATCACCAAGGGGTCAGGTTGGGCTGATTAGCATGGCCTGGTTAGCTCCTGCTGCTTGACAGCGTGCTAGACACTCTGTCAAATAAAGTCGTTATTTTTGTTTGCTTTTTCGCACAAAAGTTTTCTCGACGCTTGATAAACTTATACTTGAGCCACTGTTGTCACATGGAATATTTAAACATTTTCTTCATTGACTTTCTGGGCCGTCAAGTTTCGATCCCTTTAGCAGCCTATATATGTAGCAGTGATCCAGCTCTCAAATTTGATCAAAAATATCTTCATTTGTGTTCCGAAGATGGACAAAAGTTTTACGGGGTTGGTACAGCATGTGATTAAAGACTTAATTTTCATTTTTGGGTGAACTAACCCTTTAATTGCATTGAAAAGTTTTCTCTAAGTAAGCTTATTGAAAGAAAATATTTTTAAATACATTTTATGTCATTTTTTGTTTGTTTTCAAGAGATTTTTTCACCTTTCAATTTCCTGCTCTCACTCAGACCCGGCAACGGATGACAAAAACATCCGTTGCAGTTTGCTTTTGTTCACTCAACATAATTAAAACTGCTTATTGAGTGAGGGAGAGTGCAGCAGTTGGTAATGGAGGTTCGAGTTGGAGGTCAAGTAGGATTGCATATGTTTTTGTGTAAATGGAAAGATGGAGAAAAGGCACTGTTCTGTCTCACTGTACATCTCCTTAGAGATGAACGGCCTGCCAGGTTGCCCATGATAGCTTAGGCCAAGGTGCCATATTGTAGCAATTGGTCCTGCACGCTGGTGGCTGTCACTTAGCTCTGCGTGTGTGACAGCCTGAGCTCTCTGTCTGTCTGCCAGGCCTCCCCGCACACCCCACCCCCTATCCATCTGCTTTCGGACCCTCTGAGATGGCACCTTGCACCCAGAGGCTTATCTATCTCGCTATTGCTTCCCATGACTGCATTATATATATTGAACAAGACGCTCCAAGTTCAGTTCCTCTCCCATTGTGCAACACTGCCCAAGTTGCATAGAGCAGAATCCATCTCACCCTCCTTTCATGAACGTTGCCCACCTGTGGTCCCTCTGAAGACAAGCCTTAAGGGGTCTAGGTTTGGCTGATGAGGTGGCCCTTGCTGGTTGATGCAATAACTACACCATCTGGGAGGCAAGTAGCATTATTCTCCTTTTACGATTCAAAATTTGATTTTTTATTTTATTTATTTATTTATTTTTTCGCAATCACCTTATTGCAAACATTTCATGTTATGTGTCATGGTAGGGGTAGTTTACCAAAAAAACTCTTTCGTGAAACACAAAATAAGATCTTTTTTTAATGATTTTTGGCCATACTATGAAAGCCAATGAGATCCAAACCAACAGTGTATCGACAATAACATTCTTCACAATATCTACTGTTTAAAAAAAAAGTTTTTGAAAGGAGACTCTTATGCTTAGTGACGGTCCTTCCTATACGCGAAGTACGCATGTTGCGTAGGGCTTCCAAACCACCAGGGGGCCCCCTTGCTCTCAAGAATTAGGGCTTTGTTTTAGTTTAGTTTTTGATTCAAGCTACATCTACATTAATCCGGAAACTTTTGAAAACAGCGTTTTCGTTTAAAAACGTTCTCCGTCCACACTAGCGTTTTCTGGCGTTTTCCGACGTTTCAGTGTGGATGAGAAACTTCTAAATTCACCTTACTGCACATTCGTGAAACCTCATAAAAGCTCACCGAGATGATACAGATGGAAAAATAAATAATAAAGTCATCGCGCAATTCTTCAAACAGGATAATTTTATTTAGCAAAATATCTGATGCGTTCAGGTCGCACTCAGTCACCATATGTTTGGTCCAAAACGCAACTGCTCTCCTGCATTGCCACGGGACAGAACATGTGAGTACATTTTCTGTCATCTGTACAGGACTGTGATATGAAGAGTGTGCAAAGTAACATATTTTAACAACAGCGTAAAAGTGAATAGCGCATAGCAAGAACCGGAATACCGGTATATGAATATCTATTGGTACGACATATGGATCACATGACTAAACTTATGTCATCGTTTACAAGTACCTCCGGCTTCACAGTCCACACTACAATGCGAAAACAGCGTTTTCAAATTTGTCCGCTTTGGAGAGCGTTTTCCAAAAGCTACGTTTTCATTGACTTAAAATGCCATCTCAATGTGGACTGAAGGCCAAACCGGAGAGAAAAATATACGTTTTCAATTTGAACGTGGACATGGCCTTAGTCTTCCAACTATTATGGAAACATGATGTTGCATTTCGTTCCTTTCCTATGCGCTGTCACCATACATAACATCCAAATCAGTCGAATCATGTAACATCATGAGTAAAAGTATATTGAGCTGCGAAAGAAATGCTGTTCAACGAGTGGCTTTCTGCCCATGTGATCCGAAATGGAGAGAAACACGGACGAGTACATGCTACTTTGGGCTTCCGGTTTGTGCTTTAACCGTCTTGGGAACTTTTTAACTTAAAGGGTTAGTTCACCCAAAAATGAAAATTAAGTCATTAATTACTCACCACCATGCTGTACCAACCCCGTAAGACCTTCGTTCATCTTCGGAACACAAATAAAGATATTTTTGATTAAATTTGAGAGCTGTATAACTACCACATTGGCTCCTAAGGGACTGCCTCTTGACGGCCCAGAAAGTCAATGAAGAAAATGTTTAAATATCCCAAGTGACTACTGTGGCTCAACTATATGTTTATCAAGCGACGAGAATACTTTTTGTGCGAAAAAACAAACAAAAATAACGAGTTTATTCGACTGTTCCTTTACTTCCTTGTAGGCCAGAAACGAGACTTCCTTAGATTTCCACGACGCATGCGCGAGAACTGAACTGAAGTAGTGTAAGGAGATCACAATTCTCGCGCATGCGTCGTGGAAATCTAAGGAAGTCTCGTTTCAGGCCTACATGGAAGTAAAGGAATAGTCGAATAAACTCGTTATTTTTGTTTGTTTTTTCGCACAAAAAGTATTCTCGTCGCTTGATAAACATAAGTTGAGCCACGGTAGTCACTTGGGATATTTAAACATTTTCTTCATTGACTTTCTGGGCCGTCAAGAGGCAGTCCCTTAGGAGCCAATGTGGTAGTTATACCGCTCTCAAATTTAATCAAAAATATCTTCATTTGTGTTCCGAAGACGAACGAAGGTCTTACGGGGTTGGTACAGCATGGGGGTGAGTAATTAATGACTTAATTTTCATTTTTGGGTGAACTAACCCTTTAAGTGTATTCAGCATGTCTTTAGTGAACATAAACAGTAGGGGAAGTAATCAAATGCTTGTCAGTATATTAGATCTGTGCATTTGGTATTAAAGTGACAGCAGCCTAATAAACCTGCTGCTGTCTTTTTCATTTAATGTTAATCAAGCAGAGAGAATCATTCACTGTTCTTCACGGAATAACATTAGTAACTTTAATAAGAATCAATGTATATTTAAATCATACAGTGAAGACTATTCAATTTTTTATTTTATTTTATTTACATTTGATCACTTTATTTAATTCCTGAATAGTAGCCTATTATTAGTATTATTAGTATTAGTTTCACCTCACTCACCGTTGTTTGTTGACATTGAAATGGATCTGAAGAAACAGATTAAGGGGTTGAGGGCCATTTCTTAAAATCAATATTTTACTGACCCCAGACTATTTAACAGTAGTGCATGCTTTCTGGCTTTCATATCCCAGAACAAGGTGGTTGCATGTGAAGGATTTGGGACTGTGCATGTCCTTGTGGAGAAATTGGCCCTGGCTGAACACAGTTGCCGGTTTTATTTCAGCATGGAATGATCTAGTGGGATTGTCCTTGTCTGTTCAATGACTACTTACTTTCATCAAAAGGCACATAAGGCATTTTGCAATGGCTTTGGTCCACATTAACTGGCCATGTTTGATGTTGTCGAATCAGGGCAAATAGAAAATTCAAATACTTCGTAAATGAATTGAAACCTCATTGAGAGGATTTCTTTATTCATGCCATCGTGAATCCAGAGATTCCAGACACATTATTTATGTCAGAGCAAAGCATATCATCTCCAGAGTTAAAGTGAGTGACTGCGACAATAAGTATTGCCAGAATTCAACACTCGCTCGGTTTCTGAGCAGCTATTTTCCAGGCTGTCTGCTGGTCGCCCGTGCCAATGAAAGACTCCGGTCTGCGGCTCGCAAGCCATTTAATGAGAGTTCTGTGCTGATCTGAGCACAAATGAGCCAGGGGAAGTTTGATGTGCCACTCAAAACTGGTTTTCCATCATTATCTAAATCTAGCATAAAACCCCCCATAACTTTGAGGCTCAAATTAGTTTTAGAGAATTTTTTGCTCATTAATGTCATGTCAGACTGCAAGATGTATCCAAAAGATAAATGAGAAAATGGAAATTGTACAGCACAAAGGACTTCTCTGTTGAGAGATGCCGGGTGTTGCCGTTGACTTTTCACGCCTGTGTTTTAGTAAGCCTTCCAAATAACCTTTTTGTAGAACTTCCTTTCTTCCTCAATTAATTCTAGGGATGTTGAATATTTAGATGATACCTGTCTATGGCACTGTGACCTAACACTTTGTGATTTGCGAGTTCAAAAAGGTCACAAATATCTTTAGAAATGCTCGAGAGTCTGTCTTGGGGATTATGTCGGCTTGGAAAAGTAATTAGTTGCACCATAGATGTATTGCAGAATGACTCTGGTAGGGAAGTAAGAAGCTTTTGGGGCTCCAATTAAAACTTCATAGGAAACTCAGATCTGTATATTACATTTGGAGAGTGCTAGAGAAAAGACACCAGGTAGGGGAAGATAAGGTTGATTTG